GGAGACCTAAATCTCATCACAGACTACATTTTAGACAGATCAGGAAACAAGCTACAGAAAAGCAGAAAATCCATCGATACTTATTTCAAAGACAACAAAACTGGTGACGTGGAACAACATATCATCTGGGACACCCTTAAAGCTGTGATAAGAGGCAAAGTCATATCCGTGGCTGCGCACCTGAACAAAGAAAGACAACAACAATTTAATATGCTATCAGATAAAATCAAAGAGCTAGAAGCTGATCACAAAAGAACCAGGAGTAAGACAACTTGGAAAGAACTTGAGGCAACTCGTAGGACCCTACAATCACTAGAGACCCAGAGAATCCAGAAAAAACCTCCTTTATGTCAAACAACACTATTGGCAAAAGAACCCCAAAAGCTTAATTTTTTTTATCACTGCACATCAAACAAAAACAAAACGCACGCAAGATTCTTACCCTCAAATCTAAAGAGAACATCATCTTGACCAAATCTTTAGACATTGGGGAATGCTTTGCACAATACTACGAAGAACTATACGCCTCCACAAACCCAAAAATGGAAGATATCCAATCTTTTTTTGGAAAACAATAAGCTCTTTAAATCGCTGTCTATAGACTACTCAGGTTTTTTAGATGCCCCCATCACTGCGGATGAAGTCAGAAAAGCAATTACACACACGAAATCAAACACCGCTCCAGGCACAGATGGTTTCGGTCCAGAATTCTATAAAATGTTTCAACTGAATGTGGCAGAGCAACTAGCTGAGACCTGCAACCACATTTTGAAGACGGGGATAATTCCTCCATCTTGGAAAGAATCCTTAATACTTCCTATTCCCAAACCTGCGGGAAACAAAGAATCTCCGTCCTCCTTCAAATCCATTGCTCTCATCAACTGTGACACAAAACTCTTTATGAAGATACTGGCCTCCAGACTGCAAACTATTATACATCATTACATTGAATGCGATCAGACAGGCTTTATTCCAAACAGATCCCTAACAGACAATATACGGCGTACGTTAAACATTATTTCTTATAGCAAAATCCAACCAGAGGACTCACTACTCCTTTCAGTAGACCTAGAAAAAGCCTTCGATAGCGTGGAAATTAAATACCTACAACACCTTCTGAAAGTCATGAACTTTGGCTCAAACTTCCGTACAGGTATCCATTCTATGTATTCAGCTCCCACAGCCAGAATTCTTACAAACGAGGACACGAGCAGATCCATCAAGCTACAAAGAGGGTTGCCCACTATCCCCACTGCTTTTTGCCCTAGCAATTGAGTCATTAGCTTCTGCCATCAGAACTCATGCTTCAATCCAAGGCATTACGATCAACAAAATACAACATTCGGTGATTCTATATGCTGGTGATATGATCATCTTTCTCTCCAACCCAGAAAAGTCATTATTTCATTTACAACACCTGTTTAAGAAGCTATATCTGGTCACTGGCCTGAAAGTGAACCTACAAAAATCAAAAATCATACCAATTAATATCAACGAGGACACAAAAGTCAGGCTTTGTTCTACTTATCCATTTTAGTGGACATCAAATAATTGGAGATGCCTTGGCGTGATAATACCACCTGACCTAAAAGATTTACTTCAATGCAACTTTCACGATGCCTTTAAAACAACAAAGAACTCCCTATGTCAATGGAACCTCTTTAAACCATCTTGGGCTGATAAAATTGGACTACTTAAAAGCTTCATACTACCTAAGTTTTTATTCTTATTCAGAGCCCTGCCGATCATCATCTCACAAAAAGATCTGACCAAATGGCAATCAGAGCTTAACAAGTTCTTTT